CCACGCCCTTCCGGGCTTTTCCAAAGAATGCAGGCCCTGGGCGTGATTCGCAGCCTCATGCAGAGACAGTTGGGCGCCCAACTGAACGAGGCCCAGCAGCCCAGTAGCTGCTGTACATAGGCAGCCTCGCCAGTGCAGCCAGGCTGCGCGAGCAGGCCAGCTCTTTCCATAAAGGAAAGAGCTCTCACCTGTCAGCGGCATTCAGGCCGCATGCTAGCGGCAGCGCTGCTGGAGCAAGAGCTCGCGGCTGCTGGCTGGCGCTGAGAGGCGAGGTGTAGCAGGTGCGGTCGTGCAAGGAAGGAGGGCAGCGCCATAGCCCAGCCACCATAGCTGGTGGGCTTGGACTACAGTGAGGCGCAGGGGTGGTCTTCGGGTGTACGTGGGCGTAAAGTCAGGGGATAGGTGAAGGATGATGATGATGATGATGTGAGGGCACTTACCTTGTATTGGCGATGGTCTGTCTGCATGGGCGACATCTTCAAGTACTTCGGTTTGCTGCTGATGTCAACAGTTGCATTGTCAATTAGTAGGCTGTAGTAGCTGTGTTAGGAGTAGGCTGGGCGCTGGACTCTTGTGTTGATCAGAAGAGAGAATGCTCTTCAGGACATTGGTTTTCAGTACTACGAAGCTCCATTGGTGTATTATTGGTGCAATGCTGCTCTCTGGACACGGTGTGACTATCTGGCTTTCAATGTGCTGGTGTAATCTGAAATTGTCATCTCGCTGTTGCTTATTTTCCTTGCAATTTGGTATCAGAGATGGTTCATATTGCGCTTCGTTGGTTCTTCGCAATAGCTATTGGTGCTTCGCATGAGGTGTGGGGCAGTGATAAGGCATTGGCGTTGAGCATTAGGCGGCCCAGGGTAGAGTGGGCGCGCCAGGGAGCTATGAGGTGACATACGGGGTGTATGCTGGATGATGAGAGCTCGCTGATGTGGCATATTAAGAGGTGGAACCGCATTCTGCTGTGGGTTGTGCCGAGGCAAAGACCGGTCATCATAATTGCACATCAGGTTGCCGGTGAGAAATCTATGGTTGGGGGCAGCATTTATGAGGTATGTTGCTCTCTTCCTTATCTACCCTCTTCATTGCTTCTTACCGTAAGGAAGTGAGCCTTGTCTCGAGAGTCCTCTCGATGTGAGGTGTCGCGAGCGCTCAACCTTGAGAGTCGACATTCTTCCTGGGCAGCAAGCTGGTGGGAGACGGGCATAGCCTCTGAAGGGCCCTGGACGAAGCACTCAGGTCACGGTCACCATGCCGACCCGCTGGGACTAGTACACGCATGCTTGGCAGCAAGTCCTTGGTTCCGCTGCTTGCACAATAGAGGTCGTGTAGGGCATGCCAACCCTTTGGGACAGACGCTTACGAGACCGTCTTTAAATATTTCTGGCTGAGGACTTGGTGTTGATCATGGCTGTGATCGTCGTCCTGCCTGCGACGTTAAATAATTCCTGAGGAGATGGGGACTCTCCTTAAATCCCTCCTGATCAGCCAGATCAAACCGGGTGGAAGGCTCGTTGCATGCGAGGATAAATAAAGTGCAGGGGCTGGCAGGTTCGGCGTTGACTTGGGGCATAGGGGTGGGCCGGATTGCACACCTTCAGACACGCTACTCAACGAGACGCTCAGGACGTTGACACAAAGCGACCAATCAAGGACACAGGAGGAGGGGGGATTCCAGTAACAGTTCACAGTGGCTATAATTAGACAATCTGCCATCCAGTGTACATCTCCAAAAGGAGATGTTATTTCTGTTTTGATTATTTAGTTATTACAGACTTGACTAACAATTGACAACCAGCTACATACAGACTAAGTCTTTGCTGCAATGCTATCTGTATTAGAGTAATCTAAAAATAGATTTAATATATCCTGTAGGACCTGACATTAGTTATAACTACATCTGTTCAGGCCGACCGTAACTAGTTGTGTATCATATGCAGATGTGTGTCAAGCTAAGGTAGGATTCAGTGTGGATTCTAGTTTAGATCACACACACTGTAGCTCATGAGTGAAGACAACAGTGAGGAGGAGGGAAGGCTAGTGCAACGCCTTAGGATCACACGGAGAACCGCTCTTAGTCAACCAATCACTTTGCAGGAGTTAGCTCAAGGGAAGGAAAGGAGACTACGAAGGGAAGCAAGGGAGAGGGTAGCAGTGAGGAGGATTAGGGACGCAGCAGCCAACTTAGCGTCTGCAATGGCTATCGCCGCCTCTATGTCACAAACCTCTTCCCAGTCTTCTTCGTCAGGAGCAGGGCAGGGTGGATCGGGTGCAGTTAGTCAGTCTGCTGGTTTGCAAGTCAGCCAGCAGAGTCCACTCACACCGAAGGATTTAGAAATCCGACAGGCAGAAAAACTTCAGGATGAGCTGCAGCGGCAGTTGGACGAAGCAGTAGAGAGGAGAAGAAGAGCCATACTGAGAAAGGCTAGACTAGGAAGTAGAGTGCAGGAGCCAGACAGATTGGAAGGGCTAGATGAGGCGGCATTAGACCCTGCTGTCCGTGTGCTGTGTAGTGTACTATCAGTGGCAGATTAGACCCTGCTGTCCGTGTGCTGCGTAGTGTACTATCAGTGGCAGAAGCGCAGAATGTCCAACAGGAATTGCTGACCGAATTGGTGGCAGGCCAGAAACAAGTCCTGGCTGAACTTCGGGCTCCTCGTACAGTGATGAGGCAGCCACAGTTTGCTGTAGCTCCCCTTGCGGGTGCAGGTCCTTCATCGATGCCGCAACCCACAAGGCCATCTTTCCCTCCTATGTTTGGCATGCCCCCTCCAGGTGGTTTAGTACCAATTAGTGGTCAGGTTCATAGATTCTCGACCGTACCATCTACGACAGTGGTCACTACAGTCCCACTGTCAAGCCAGGCCCAGGTTAGTGTGCAACAACCTGTTTCAGTGGCTATGCAGCCGCTGCAGTAAGCCCCTGGGCCCATGCAGCCTTTGCAGTGGATGCCCAAGATTCCTTTGCTGAGTCCTAAACCTTTTTCTGGAGACAGGAAGAAGGATGAGGATCTGGACACCTGGGTAAGAACTGTGCCTTCATATGTGAGGCATAAGCTTACAAGGCCAGAGCAGGAGGTTGTAGTTGCTGCGTCCTTTTTAGAAGGATCGGCAACACGTTGGCTAAACGGGTTAGTGCAGCAGCAGGGCTATGGTCATAACTTCGATGCATGGGCACAGGCCCAAACATTGGAAGATTTTGTACAGACTGTGTACAGGAGGTGGCATGACCCTCAAGGGGCTCAGAAGGCCACCGACGCGATCAACAATCTTTGTGCCCAAAATTACAAGAATGTTCGCGAAGTCACAGACGTTGTAGAACGTCTAATCGTAGTAC